CAGCAGGAGACATGCCCTTTGTGTTTCGGTGCGCCCTTCCTGAGCAGCACGCCCTGTTTCTGGGCTGTGCCACCCCATCCTCTCCTGCAGAGGGGAGAGGGGCAGGGCTGGGTTATGCCTTTGGAGGCCGTAAGTGTGGAAAAAATTGGGGTGCTTCTCCTATATGTAAAATAAAAACAATCGTAAGCCACAAAAGTGTAAGGATGATCTGAATTTGTCATGTATGCTCTGTTGCTATTTAAAAGTTAAAAATTAAATTCCTCCAGTTACGGCATGTGCACTTGGGCGTGTCCCTGCTTTCCTGGTACTCTAGCTGCCTGTTGTCCAGCGCTGCCCATTAGGAACCAGTGGAGACCAGGAAAAGTGGCTTCAGTCTCCGGGGACAGTGCTGAGTGGGGCGAGGACGGTCCAGACGCGAGGAGAGGAGAGAGCAGGAGAAGCCAGCGGTGGCGCCATCGCACTCGGTGGCAGGAAGAGGAGGCGGCCACGGTCATCTGCATGGGCCCTCGCCAGACGCGGAGCCCAGAACAGTGGGGGCAGCGTTGCAGGTGCAACCGGAAGCCAGCTGAGGAGAAGACACTCTGCCTCAACACTGCAGCTTCAGCCTGGGGAGGTGAGGACGGGACTGGAAAAAGTGTTCCAGGTAGAAGGGGCCCGCATCCAGAACACTGCGTTTCCTGTCCTTGCCCTCGCTGGCCAGGGCTTCGCCTTGATGTGGGGTGGCCCTCACGGAGGCTGCGCTTTCTGCACAGCTCTGGCCCTGAGGGAGGAGGTCTCACGGCCCCGCCCTTGTTCCTTTCCGCTTCATCTCTCTCTCCTGACTGGCTCCTTCCTTCTACTTCACCTACAACAGTGTAAACCAGAAAGAAACCTTTCCTGCTTCCTCCTCAGTTTACCCCCTTTAAGATCAAGTATCTTGAAAGAGCCAGCTGAAGTCACCCCCTGGCCGCCCATGCACTGTGCTCCCCCTACAACCCACAGCCCCCTCCCGCGGGTGAAGGGCTGCAGCCACGGGCGGACCTCTCTCAGTGCCTCTCCCCATCACAACTGCCTACACTCACCCTCCTCTCCTGCGCACGGGGAAACAGGTCCGCCAAGCTCCCTGCCTCGACCCATGGCTCTTATTGCCACATGACTTTTAATGTTGTGTGTCTGGCTAGGTGATAGTACCCAGATATTTAATCAAACCCTAGTCTAGGTGTTGCCGTGGAAGTATTTTGTAGATGTGGTTAACATCTCTATTTAGTTGACTGTGAAGGAAGGAGATTAGCCGAGATAATGTGGGTGAGCCTCAACCAATCAGTTGAAGGCCTTAAGAGCAAGACAGGTTTTTCGGCAAAGAAGACATTCTGCCTGGACACTGCAGCATCAGCTCCTGCCCAAGTTTCCAGCCTGCTGGCCTGACCTACTCATTTCCAACTTGCCTGTCCCCACAATCGCATGAACCAGCTCCTTAAAATAAATCTCTTAAAACTATGCACATATGCACACACATTGCGTTTCTCTGGAGAACCCTGACTAACGCATACTTTTTATGCTCTCCCTGGGTTGAAGACTTTTGCTTCCAAAACCCAGTCACCTGTGGGTCTGTGTTTCTAGTACCTTCTGTCTCCCAGACACCAAACTTATACACACCATTGCCTACGGGGCACACAGGAAAGCGAACATTCACCCGACATCCTCCAAGAACCTAGAATTCAAATTCCAGTGTTCCCTGGGGGTTCCTTCAGCACCAAGTCAGCTCTGTCACAGCACGGGCCTTCCATGGGTGCGATCTCAAACGCTCAGAGGCTTCCAGGTGGAAGTGGCAGAGCCAGCTGTCACAGTTGGGGCGGGGCAGGGGGCAGACGTGGACTGTTCCTTAGCCCCAGCCAGTGGTTGACACCTGGGGACATGGGTCCAGTATTATAAGAGCTTTCAAGAAAAAAACAGAAATAAGTTTTAGTGAAATCTCTCAATTTTTAAATATTTAAAAATGTTTTTCACAACCCAGCAGGAGCAGCAAAACTCATCTGCAAGCCAGATTTGGCCCCCCAGCTGCCAGTTAGCAAGTTCCAAGTCTCACTGTGCTGTAAATACTTAATTTTGTCTCCAGTTCCTTCTGTCCTCCCGCCCCTGTGAGTTGAGAGAGCGAGGATTGTGACCCAGGATTCTTAGACTTGACCGCACCCCACTTACACTGGAAGGAGTGGGCGAAATGGCAGCAGAGAGACCTCGGCTCCCTAATTCCATTCTCTCCATCTTGCTGGAATCCTTCTACATTCTCCCACCTCATTCAATAAGGCTTTTATCCCGTCACTCAAAGACTACTAGCAGGCGCACTCTGCTGCATCGAGTGCAAGGTCCTCCGGCCTCTGGCCTTCTGTTCTGAGAAAGTCAGTGGGCTGCCTCCGGTCCCCTCGTGTAAACTCACAGTCCAGT